TTTTCAACTTTGAACTTGTGTTATAAGTGGTGCATATGGAAATGGTGTGTATCACGATGGAATATAATTTAGTGCGTCGAAATTTTAAGTTTATCATAGTAGATTCTAGACATGAAATTCTGGAAAACTGTAGTTTTCACCCAGTCACATTACGACTCCTCGAAAAAATGGTCCGCTCGAGGTGAACATTTTATCATAATACTCCAGGCCCTATCTCAGGTTTGTTTATTTTTCTTTTCGAAAAATATACTTTCCTTTTCGAGGTATTCGTAAAACAGTAAAAATCCTGTATAAAAAAGCGGTTTTCTATTTTAAAAACCTCACGCCGAAGGCTGAATCGAAAATACTTTCAAAGAAAAGAACCCGAGTTAGGGTCTAAAGTATCTGTAGTAAAAGTTTGAGCTCGACCGGACCATTTTTTCCAAGGGTCGTCATGCTCTGAAGAAAAAACTTAAAAACCTCATCATTTTTCCAAGGAAGGTCGTACAGAGCTGGGAGTAGTCTCATTTCATAGCCCAGACTTTTAGCTACATACTCAATAATAATTGATTATTTGAATTGAATATTTCAACTTCAACATGAAACATTTGATTTGACAGGCATTTTATTATGAAGTTTGTATTATGAAAGATGAAGTAAAAAGTAAAAAATACCTTTAATTTCAGCGTCTTCACGATTTGCTGCTTCGATTTTCTCATGCAACGTAGCATGAACTTTAAAAGATGGAAAAAAATGAATAAGCGTAGCTGTAAACTTAAAAAGAGACAACTCACTATTCTCACATCTTCTTTTCTCACAGTTGGATAACTTATATTCTCCTTATCGAATTGCAGTGCGTCACCAATGTTCTCATACTCATTGCACACTCTTCTCTTAATACAGCATCTCGTCCATTCAGTTGTTCATTATCCTCTTCAATTTGATTTATTTTGTAACGCCATTCTTCTAATTCTTTATCGATGACACCAATCCTTAAATAAACAAGATCAAAACATCTAAATTTTTAGATAAAATGATGATCTATCTTACTTGTAAGCTAATAATGTTTCATACACATTTTCACCACCTTTCTTACTCTTTTTACCGCCTCTCTTCGTCTTTTTTCCGGTATTTCAATCGTGACAAATTCGTTTCAAATTTCATAACCGATAATGAAAATTCTTCAAATAATAATAGGAAAACGAAATCTGAAAGTTGACATAAACTGGGTCGTCATCATAGAAACATATGTCTTATTCTATCAACAAAATTAATATTTTATTGATGTAGTAGTGAATCGTAATGTATTTAACATCGAAAGTCCAGTTATCATTAACCTCATATGCCTCTTTGAAAATCGAAAAACAAGACGATATCTATTGGCTGTTCAACTTAGCTGAACAGTCAGTAGAAGGATCTATCGAGTAGTCTATTGTAGTAGAAGAGTCGTCGAAATAGTTGAAAGATATCGTGAGACCTTACTTTATTATCGGACAATAAAGTAGCCTAACGTTCGATTGAAATAAAAAGAAAAATTTTCCATCTTAATCAGATATATTTGAATTTTAAACCTGAATGAAGTTCAAAAATGAATTTTTGTTTTTAAATATTTCCTAGACTTGTAACCACGATACGTAAGAAAGTTATTATTATTAATAAAACTCCGCTTCTACTCTACTCAACCTACTCAGACCATTTTACATATTGTCATCATTACATACACGTCTATAATCAACCTTCTCATGGGTTTTGAGAAGTTTTGCGTTACGCACGATACCAGTATTTTGACTGTTGTTTCACAATACGCTGAGTAACAGGATTGTGACAGAACTGTTTCTGTACTAGAAACATGGATTTTACCTTCTTTCTGTTGGTGTGTGATTAATAACACCCAAACAGAAAATTTTATCAAAAATGATAGTAAGTCATTCGAACTACGCATTTAACAGAATGAAAAGAAATTTTTTAGTGTTATAGTGCAATAGTGGAAAAAATGTGCTTTTTTATTTTCAAAGCCAGGCTTTGCTACAACTCTAATTTGGATCCTGTTTGAACGAGTTGTAGAAAAAAATTTATGAAGAATCTCTCTGCATTGATAAAAAGTACGGAGCATATTCTGAGAGAGTCCTCCCTTCGACATTCTCTACAGTTTCGCAATGCATTATTCATTTGTAATGAATACTCGAGCTTATGCTAAGAATTTGAAATCGAAATGTTGAAGCGCTGCCAAGTTATTGCGTGACAACGGAGAAAATGGGGCTCTTAGCAAAAGCGTTATAACTTTTTTTGTTGGAAGGTGCAGAAAGCTGCGAGAGACCTCAAATGAAAGCAGACACCTAAATCTAAAATTTGATCCGCGGCGATTTTTGAATATCGCTTCTGTTCATTCCCTACACGTATTTTAAGTCAGACTTCTGAAAATAGCCCTAGTTCGGCGGAGTATTTGCCACTTATCTCTGCACAGAAAAGAAAAATCAAAAATCGCCGTGGACCAAACTTTAGATAAATGTCTTAGCTTTAAAATAAAAAAAGAATGAAGGTTGTACGACGAATCGCCTAGGAGTTATTACAACTTTACTGCATCAAAACCATATTCTAAGCAATGACGTCATCACTTCATTAATTATAGTTCAGCGCCTTTAGCAAAACTAGTATAACTCTGCAAGACAAAGTCGTACAAACCTGCTGGACATCTCATTCTGATCAGAACACTCTGCTCAACAAAGCTCCATATCTGTTAAAACGGACAATCTTAAAAATTTTAATTAAGCGTGAAATTTATAAAAAGGTGATTTTTAAGGCTTCAGAAATCTTTTTCAAAATCCTCCAAAAACATTGAATTTTTGGCAAACTGAGATGGATTCTGAAAGATGACACTTTGGGATACTGAACCGTATGGTTACTTCAGTTTCGAAGATTCGAAGAAAACATCGAATTCCTGAGGGGGAGCCCCTTAAGCAAACAGTATGATAGATAAACAGAATTAATATACTAACTTGCTCTTCTCTGCTGCACTAATCATATAACAAACAAGAAAAAATCTCATTAATCTTTCGCTGAATACCGGGGCATCCCCATACTGCTTGTGAGAAAAAACCTTCAGTTTTCTTTATCACTGTGTATATAATAAACTCGTAGCTTAGCTTCAAAAATGTTTTCTTAAAATGTTTTCACAGACTCTAATACTCTTTCTCTCTGCTGTTGCATTAAAGTGGGCTGATTCATTACTCACGCATCCAGAGTACGTTGCTAAACTACAAGAGGCAAATAAACTCGATGAACATACAGTGGATGTGAATAATATCAGAGATGAGTATTCATTACAAATGAATAATACATTATTTCGATATGGATTGCCAAAATGTAGTGAATGTCATCAGATTGGAATTATTGGTGCAGGTAATGAGCAGGATAGAGTGGCAAGTACTCTCAGAAAATAATACCTACCTTGCAAAAGTGGAATCGTGAATATAAATGTTCTTAGGGTAACGCAAGATTAGGGCTGTCTCTGTTCTGTCTCTATGCTTTCTCTGTTCTTTGTTATGCTACAGCGGCTGGAGTATGTTAAGTGGCGGCTTTCTTAAAATGCACTTGCTAAAAACGTTGCATTGTGATGCAAAAGAAATTGTCTAATGTGTGCTTTTTAAAATATGCATCTACTTTTTTGTAGCCATAAAAGCATTAGAAGTCATAAAGGGTCGGATAGATAAAGAGAAAATTCAAAAAATTTCCATAATACAGAAGTACTTCAGTGTATCGGGTAGTGTATTTTGTTCCTGCAGACCAAAAATGGACGGGTTAGTATTTTAGATTTTTCAAAATGTGAAACAGAAGCAGAGAGCAGTTTTATGTCTAGTTGCTGCAGGTTTTTCCGTGCTAGAAAACTATTCAAAATGCAACGCCCTTTTATGCTTCAATTGAAAGAAACTTAATTTAAAAACAAGTACTCAGAAGGTGAAAAACTTTTCTAGTGCTAATTCTCCTAACACTTGCTTTTAAATTATATTTCTTTCGACCAGAGCATTCGCATTTTGAATAGTTTTCTAGCGCGGAAAAACCTGCATCGAATAGACAAAAAACTGTTCTCTGCTTTCTGTTTCACATTTTGAAAAATCTAAAATACTAAATACTCGAAGAAACTACTCGTCCATCTCTGCTACAGACTCGTTTGTCTCTGTTTTATGAAAGGAAAACTTTCAGCCAATGTGAGGACGTTTTCGTGTGAGCTCTTCTTTATAGGAATGACTTCGAACAATTAGTTTTTGAATATTAAAACATGCACAATTTCAAACTGTATGGAAGGACTGGTAGTGGGCGGGTTGAGCAAGGAAGATAATAAGGATATATATTTTCGACAATTATCGTTATCGTCTGAAAATTTCGTTTTGAACTTGAAACGAAAACTTAGAATTTAGTTTACTTGTAGTGTCGTCTTTGGATCGCGCAGCGAAAGTATTACTTGCGAAGGAACCTTCCGAAATGTCACTCTCAGTTTTTTAATGATATTGCGTCGGTTCCCAACCAAAAACGACCCAATTTTTTGGGCTATTTATCTAGATAAATAACCCAAAAAATTGGGTAGTTTTTGCTTGGGTTGATAGAGAATAGTGTCCGACTAAAAACTCTAAAAAGATTTTTCCCTATAAATATCATATAACGCTTTTCAAAAGTTATAATGTTTTTTATTTGCTTATATAAGGAAACAGTACAACATTAAATTTTGTATCGCGCTGAAAACAGCGAATTAAGCGAATAAGTTTTAAGATGATCTGTAATTAATTGAGATAACTGTAACGATAGTAGCTTACATTAAAAAAACTGGTCAGCACCTTCATCAGTTAGAACTCGCATTTCACTGTGACCAAATACTAAGCAGTTCAAGGTTTTATGACTTCTCATACTTTTATGACTACAAAGAGCCAGATGCATATTTTAAAAGGCACACATTGGACACAAAATTTCTTTGCACGTTTTTAGCAAGTGCATTTTGAACTTGTTTTTGATATCAATAAACATTTTCAGAAACAAAGATTCCGCTCTTTTTTAAATAGGTGTGGCTGGTTTGGTGGCCGGCATTGAACTAGCCAAGTCCGGTCACACAGTGATGATTTACGAAGCAAATAATCGACCTGGTGGTCGAATTGATACATACCGTGATCGTGAACATGGCTATTTGACGGAACTAGGTGCAATGCGTTTACCATTAGAAGTACATCCATATTTAAATTATTTAATTCAAACAAGATACCAGTTAAAAGTCAATAAATTTAAAGAGTATGATGAGGATTCCATTGTGTATATAAATGGTATTAATACAAATGTAAAGCAGGCAGAGATGAATCCAGACATGTTTGGTTTCAGAACCAAGCTGAATGAAAAAGGAAAGGTTCGTTGTTTATTATTTAATTCTAAGATCACCAATTAAGTATCTATACATATATATTTAGAAACCTGTTACTCTTTGGAATGATGCAGTTCAACCACTATTAGACATGGTTAAAAATGAAAGTTGGGATGCTGTTCGAGCAAAATGGGATTCCTACAGTATTGATTATTATCTACATGAAGAGAGAAATTTGTCACGAGCAGCTATTGACTACATTAGCTTAATGCTTAATGTGGAATCAAATCTATACACAGCTCTAATAGAGAGTATACGCGATATGACAATTATCAAAGATGACACAGAATTTTATCATATTGTTAATGGCAATGATCTTTTGATTGAGTCCTTAGTCAGAGAGTGTCTATCAGTGGCAAATAACCGTTGTTCAATTATGTACAATGCTTCTGTTACAAAAGTACAATTAAAAACCGAGAAGAAGTCTAATGTTCAAATAACATGGAAAAATGGATCCAATGACACTCAAAGTAAAAAATATGATTCTGTTATAGTTGCAACAACGGCCACAGCGGCTAGTTTAATCGAATTTACTACGCGCTTTAAATTTGCTGATAAATATCGGGCCATGAGACAGTTGCACTATGATTGTGCAAGTAAAGTAGCACTGTTTTTTAATCGGCAATGGTGGAATCTTGATGAAAATATTCAAGGTGGTCGTTCAACGGTTGATTTACCTGTACGCTTTGTCTACTACCATAATTTTAATACAACATCGTCAGAATCAGACGGTGCAGCCATATTAGCTTCGTATACGTGGTCTCAAGATGCATTATTGTGGACATCTTTAAGCGAACAACAGTCCATCGACCTGGCATTGGAAAATCTGAATGAAATTCATGCAAAAACCGACGTATTTAAAACTTTTATCGGTGGTAAAGTTAAACATTGGTGTACTGATCCCTATTCTCATGGTGCCTTTGCTTTGTTTACACCATTTCAAGAGCGTGATATTATGTCTGAGTTGATCAAATCAGTCGACAATGTTCACTTCATCGGTGAACATACATCGAGTGCACATGCCTGGATTGAAGGAGCAATTTTATCGGCGCTTCGTTCAGCACTGATAATTCAAGAAGAAATATTCGATGTTGTCATTATAGGTGGTGGTCCCATCGGGCTAGCTACAGCCATACGACTGGCCGACAGACAACCAACTTTACGTATAGCGATTGTTGAACAATTTAAAATTGGTAATTCGGATGGTAGTTCTGGTAGCTCCGACGTACGACAATTTCGACAAATGTATAGTGAACAGTATTTAGCCGAGCTGGCGAACAAGTCTGTACTAATGTGGCATCAATTAGAACATAAGGCAAATTTATCATCAGGTTCAATATTAAACACTGATGATGGTTATCTATTCTATGGTAATTCTCAAATGGTCGACACAACGGAAGGTGGTCTAAATAATATAAAAGATAATTGCGAAAAATTAAAAATGAATTGTAAATATATGGATGGAACAGAATTACAAGAACGTTTTCCATTCTTTTCATTTTCATCTGCCTACACTGGTATTTATCATTCTCAATCCGGCTATATTAATGTCACACAATTGATGTTAACATTAGTACAACTAATATCTGTTAATAAAAATATTACTATTCGCGAGGATGAACAATTTCTATATTTCAATTATACAGACACAACGACGAAAGATATCCGTATCATCACCAATCGGGGTTCGCTATTAGCGAAACAAAAAGTTTTATTTGTGCCAGGACCCTATGCAAAATCTGTTTCAAATAAGCTTGGATTCGATTTAAATATGTCTATGTGGGAGTTACCTTCAATGTATTTTCGTTTGAGATCTGCTACCAGCAAAAATTTCTCATTACCAACATGGTTTGCATTTGCTGGAAATGATAAGCAATCGTTGTACTATGGCTTCCCAGTTGAATCAAGTGATCGACCGGGCTACATTAAAATATCACCGGATTTTATTAAAGATTTATCCAACCCTTTAATCAATCCAGAAGACCGTAGTCATTTACCCGATCCATATTTGATAGAAAAAACAATCGACTGGGTAACAAAAAATGTACCACAAGTGAATTCTTCTGATTACATTATTTCGCCTCATACGTGTCTAGCCACCTTTGTGCCGGATAATGGTTTTGTTCTCGATTATGTTCCTGATCATCCAAAACTAATTATGTATGCTGCTGGATGGGGAATGAAATTTGTTCCAGTATGGGCTGATATACTATCACATATGATCCTAGATACAGCTTCAACGTCAGTTTATGCGGACTACATGCTAAAATTTTCTTTATTAGTACCAGGTCGAATCATACCACCGAAAGGTCACTCAAATGGACAGCAGAAAGAAGGCAATATGTTTCTGTTATTGATCTTACTGGCAATAATATTACTGTTCTAACCAGAGATGTAACCGTCAACAAAACAAAGGCTATTTTTCTAAAAATTTTGACCGCTAAGGGACCGGTACTCACATTTCTCAAGAACTCTTTCGGAATAGTAAGTACTATAAGAACAGTGAGCCTTTTACATTTCTTCTCATTTGGAATAAATAATTTTCCGTAAGTTTTATATGTTATCAGGCGTATCTGGTGCGCGGTAATTCATTTTATTTCTCTATCATCTGTATTTATTATGTTTCATTTGAAATTCTATAATATGGGATTTATTAATCCCTGTATTACCTTATTAATCTCTATATTACACACACATTATTATTCAGTTTTCGAAAATTACTCATTATTCATTTTTCGAAAAGTTGTATAAAATAATTTGTTGTATGATTAAACAGTGGGTTTACACGAAATTTATATAATATTATGTTATATAAATGTGAGAGGGTAACTGATGATAAAATAGAATGACTGAAAACAATGTCAGAAGAAACTTATCTACAGAGATTATGTGTTTATTCTTTTAGATGCACGCGTATTCACATATATACTATTAGGGCTCACAGGAAAAGAGTTTCGTGATGTTTTTTGCATTCTGTCCGCTGTTGAAGAAATTATATATCTGTTTTTCTCAATACCATGTGGTCATTTATTTGTGGTTGTCCTGTTGAGAAGAGACTTGTTATTAAGCAAAATCCTTCTTTCATCTTTCGCATCGTCAACATGGAATAACAAAAAACTTATAACAGGTTGTACGAATACAAACACAATAGTAAAAGACGAAGCTAAAAAAGTACGTTAAGTTCAAGTATCACAGACAGTTATATAACAGACATCAGTCAATACATTCACGCATTACGTATAGACCGGAAAACCAGGAATATTTCAAACAGAAAATAATGAATGAAATTATTATCTTTCTTTGAGCAGTACAAAATGATACTAAATCTACTTTTTTCTGTCATATTTTCTACTCATAAGCCAAGCCGACCAGGTCCGCTTCAGCAGTTTCGACCGGACCGGGAGCGGGCGCTCGGTCCGATCGCATCTCGGGTTCTAACAGTGCAGTCACATGACGACCCCTGTTTTGCTTGCGTATGGAAAGCTCTATATTTTCAAAATACAACACGGTTGGTAATTAAGATAAGACTACAGCATTTTTGAGAAGCTCATAACTCCGTAATAATACAATATTTTTTCGAACGGAAAGCGGCAATTTTGTAAGAAAAATCTAGAGACTTTTGTAAAATAAAAGAAGTATTTCTGCTCTTTGTTTTATCTCTTTAGTTCACCAAATTAATGTTCTTTCAATAACAAATAATCTTACTAATAGAACAGTGTTCTACGGTTTATTTTCACAAATCTTGTATGTTACACTTAACTACTGATCAGTATCAGTTTTGATCGACTCAGTTTTCTTGGTATGAAGATGACGGTGTTTGACTCTTGACCGATGAATGTCATTTTTTCAAAGCACACAACGGAGTATCCTTTTCGTCGCCTGTTTTAATCCAGTTGGGACATATGTGCCCTTCTGTCAGGAGAAGAGGATAAGAGAAAGGTCTGCTAATGTATTCCGAACATCTTGAATCACTTGTTGCTGGTCCATAGCTGGTCAGTTTTTATTCTGTCTCTTGTTTTCAATTTTATATTATCTTAGAAATTAAAACAAGAAACAAAAATAACGGAATAATAGAATCAAAAACATTTCCAGAAATTCTATAAAGCATGTATGCATCGGTAATGAAACTAAAAATTAACAGCTGAAAATACACAACACAAACACTCGAGTATTGACCACGATCTGTGATGATTGAAAAAGGCACATTTCGCACAAAATCGAATCTAAGAAAGAAAGCATTCTCAGTTTATCGTTTATTTGGAGCGAGTACAATAGCATCTGTAATGTCTTCACTTTTATGTTGATAGTTTTCCATTAAGTGGTTGAACAAGAGATGATTTTTCTGTAGTCCAAAGTGAGCTTTGCTTGCAATCAGATAGGTAATGCTTTATGCTTAATTGAGAGGTGAATAGTTGAAATAGACACTTCGAATTGTACAGATTTAGTCAGTTTCTGATCCGAGTATCTAACGGCGCAAATTTTCGTTGTGAACGACACAGACTTTGACACTGCAAGTAGAAGAAGAATCATTTTACGACGATAATAACAACCACCAGCATCATTTCGCTACTGCTGACGAAGAAGGCCGAAGAAATAAGGGCAGGCTGTCGTACATACGACACACCTAATCTTTTAGAAAGAGACTGGGTTGGAAGCACTAATGGCTCACAAGAGGATTGAGCGATTTGTTTGACTTCAAGGAATGGAGTTGCCCCTTAAAAATGGAGTTCCATTGAGATATTTTATTCCTCCACAACAATGGAGATGAAATACCATTTTTCTTGTTTCTTATTTTTCTTGATAGGTGGATAGTTCATGGGATGGTCAATTCACACCTCGAGTTGTACAGATTTAGTCAGTTTTTGATCCAAGTATTTAACTGCGCAAATTTTCGTTGAGAACGACAGAGACTTTGGCACTGCAAGTAGAAGAAGAAGAATCATTTTATGATGATAATAACAACCACCAACACCATTTCGCGACTGCCGACGAAGAAGATAGTCGAAGCAGTTCAACAACCGATCATCACCGATTAATTAAAGT